CTTATAAGACAATATCTTCACATTTAGGAAACACAAATTATGTTTTTAACATAGTCTTTAACTCTTGATATAAACAGTTTTTTATGTGTTTGAAAGCATTTTAGAGAGGGAAATATTGTTTCTGCATCTGCACATATTGCAGTCCTTATAAAAAGTACTTACAAAACCCCCACTCCCATGTTTTTATTGTTTTTATGCTGCAACTTTTTAAGTCTAAATTTCTATGTAGAGCCTTACTTAGTAACTAGTAATCTTAAGGGTTTTAATTGAAAGAAAAACGTTGTTTTGGGTCATACATATTATACATGTAAGCACTTTTATTTGAATGTAGGCAGTATTTGCTGTAAACTTGCTGGTAAGGTAATGTGGGTATTGAGAACTTGATTCTAGTCCATGATGAATTCATGATGCACTTTTGATACCAGCATAATAAAAACCTTACAAGGTTGAGTCATATCCTGCAGGTTGAAGTTCACAATTTTGACTATGTTTTTTTTTAAATGGATCATTGTGTGATTTTTTTTCTCGTAGGTACTTACAAGCTCAAATTTTGTTTTTGTGATTCTCCATTTTATCTGTGGATCGTTCCGCAGTGTTTAGGATATCTACTAGTATGTAGATATATGAAGCCCCTGGGTCTCATTTATAATTCATATTCTTTTTTATTATCCATAACAACATATTTCAACTTCAGGGTTAATTTATTAGTAGACTTCTGACTGTTTTGAACAGTTCTTTACAAATAATAAATGAATATTGGATGTTTCTCTGTGCTGCCACCTATTGGGCTGCTAAGAAACTTGTATAGATCAGGTCATTTGAACAGCAGTCACAAGTGCTGTGACATTACTTTGAATTGAACATTTGAAGATGATGGGTCCATAGAATATTACAATGAAGTTAGCACCTGTTGAATAAGATTTAGTGAAATACAAGTATAGTACACAATGTATACATATTTTTTTTTTTGAGAAAATGTATATTTTAAGTCAGTGAGTCTTAACTCAACCCATCTGATGCCATTTCAGAGCTTTCCTTGATGAGCAGAAGCCCATAAACTTGTCTCCCAGCTGTTATTTAAAAATTTAAATAAATTTTACCAACAAAATAAGACTTTCAAATAAGTGAATCCCAACAGATTCTTTCAGACAGTTTAGTATCTCTACTTAAATTGAAAGACATAGCAAATTTTATCTCTGCCATGGTGCTGTCCCTGTATGATTCCATTTTCAGCTGAATTAGATTATGATTAGCGACCGTAGTATACAAATTTATGTCAAATAAAACTAAGAACTGGGTAGTCCCAAAATGGAAGTGATAAAACGACAAAAATGTCGCTATCATAAAGGAATTACTAGAGTTTGATAAAAAAACAAATCTTTAAGTAAAGAAATTGACTGGACAATAATAATTATTTTTATTATATCATAAAATAAATCACCCCAGTTCCAATACCTTAAGCATGTCCTGAATCTCCTTGATGTGAGCATGATTGTGCTACCTAAACGACACCAAAAAAGCTGTCAGATGTATCAATTAAATGGCAATTGAAATAACTTCATATGAATAAAAATGATCGATATTTCACTGAAGAAGCAGGAATTGTACTTTCAGTCATATATTGTTTTTGATGTTAGTTATTAGAAGAGTTGTGGCAAAATGATGTATATTATTCATGTATAAGTGCCTTTAATGTGGCTAGGAATAATGAATAGTTAATGTGTGACTGGTTACTTGGACTTAAAAAGGAGACTTGGTGTGTGGAAGTGTGATGGCATGTATGTGCATGCTTTGTATGCACTTTTGTGCACATTTTCATGTTTGTTTTACGTGTGTGTGCGCGCGCGCGCGTGTGTGTGTGTGTGTGTGTGTATGTGTGTTTCTTGAGGGGTTGGAAGGGGCAGCAGGGTTATGTCGCCATGTTTGTGCAACAATTTCTCACTAGATACAGTATATGCTACACAATACAGAAATGTCTTCAGCCAATGAACAGCCAAAGAAATATCAGATTCTGTGAATATCCATTGAAAATAATTCTGTCTTTGACCCTGGTAACAAAGGCTAATGGATGTGCAAGAGAAAGATCTTCTCCAGAGCTCTGTTCTATACAGTTTAATAACCTCAAATGATATATAGAAATATAATTTTTAATGATTTCAAAATTATGAATGAAAAGTTCAGGTCATTTCTTTCAGCTACAGAGGGTGATGTATGTAGCAATGGAAAAATACATTGCAATCAAACTTAAAAATGAGTGAAAAACCCATTAAGCACATCAAGCACATTCATATTGAACGTGAATGCTGTCAGCACTGTTAATGCAACCCACACACTGTCCTTCCCCACCACAGCAACCTGTTTGACAATGTATTGAATCATACCTCCATTCACAGTGAGGTGGAAATGCAATCCATTTTGTATCTCTTCAAAAGGAAATTGCATTTCAGTTTGGAAGCAGTATTTCAACAACAGAAACAGTAAAAGTAGCATGTACATTATTGAGCTTTATATGTAGAATTGTTGTTTGCTGACATTTTCTATATCAGGGTTACAGACTCTGTATGTTGATGCAAATTTGACACATTTATGCCCAATTGTTTTCCTTTAATTTCAACCCTTATTCCTAAGTCCATAGCCAGGTTGGGGCAGTCTGACCTTGTCTGATGTTTCTCATATATCATTAAGATATAATCATTAAGATAATAATGTTGTGTATCCTTGTATATGTGTCAGACTGAACATTTTTAGCCATTACTGGTGCACAGGCTGTGTATATATATATATATATATATTAGGGTGCTTTATATATATATATATATATATATATATATATATATATATATATATATATATATATATATATATACACAGTAATGACTCAATCTTTTCAATGGGGAAACTGTCTTTCATGACATGAAGTTTTAAAAAATTGAATACTCCTAATGTGGAGTAGCAACAAAAGTTGAAAAGTAGGCTATACCCTAGAGTTCTATTTTAAACAGTAAAATCACCATAAATGCTTCTAGTAAATGTATAATTTTTTTTTCATAATTTCTAGATATTAATGTATCTGAAAGATTGATAATTTTTGCTCATTAAAATGATTGTATAGACCCAAGTTTTAAAATCTGTTTCTACTTAACAAGGAAATATATTTAATTCAACAGGATAGCTAACTAGGGAGAGGATTGGTGTGTGAAACGTGGCATAAAATTTTGGCCTTTAGGTGACATGCTTCAGGTACAAATTTTAATGATTGTTTTAATGTCACTGTCATGATACGTTCACAGCTGCTCCAACTTAACCCTTAACTCGTATGAATGGAGTCAACTTTTCGTTTTCTAAATAACTTAAAATTCTAAGTAAGACCTGCTTGAATGCCTGATTATGTCCATATCTATCTTTAAGATAGAAGTTCTATTCCATTTAATTGATATTGAGCTATTAGTTTAAGTTCAATCATACACACTGAACATATGAGACATTCACTTACGAATTCACCTGGGCAATAGTCAGCAATTTCATCGAAGAGGGAGGAGGGGTGTCTTATTTTGAGAAATTGTACTTTTTAACTACATGTTTGCAGAGAACCTTGGTTAAAGTTTTAATTAGAACAGCCTTTTTCTTGGCTAGTGAGGTGCTTTGTTCGAACTCCCTGACCAAACACCACCCCCTTATGGGGATACTTATACTAAAACATTTATAAAGTTCTACAATAATGGTTTGTAAATTTGTATGCAGCAGATATATATATATATATATATATATATATATATATATATATATATATATATATATCGATAGATATCAATCGCTGAAGTTATTTTGGATATAATTTACCCTAGGTGTGAACTTGTCAGTGAAGAAGAATTAATTTTATGTCACTGTCAGGCATAGTTCAGAGGACACTGTGACGCTCCACTTAGTATGACAAACACGGGTGTTTTCACCTTAGAGCTGTCGCAAACACCATGAACTAGATCTCAGAAATTAAATGTTGTAGTAGGACTACGTTTATACAATTCTCAACTGATGCCAAGTTGGAATTTAGGTGATGCTGGTCTCCCTCTTATGCCTTTTGCTAACGTTCGTGTCAAAATTACGACAGGAGTTCCTGCGTCTGTATCACAACACAGAAAGGTGACAAGGAATCCAGGTATTAAAAGGTAGGGTAAATGTAGTCCTATTGAGTTTCCCAGATGGATTTTTGTTTTGTTTTGTTTTGTTCATTGTTGAGAGGAGGGGGTTGTTTCTTGGTTTTTAGGCCTTATATCATGGTCTCAAGAGTTGGTGAATGAATGTACAGATCAGGTCACAGGTTTTGACTTCGTGATTATGAAGAATGAATGCATGTACTTTTTTCTTGACACAGACTTCAGATATGATTCTAGCTTTGCCAATTAAAACTTTAAATAGTAATTTACACTCCAGAATGGGGATTCTGGGATTGTTACATCAACCATTGTTATCACTGAGAAGTTTGTTTGTGTATGTGTGTGGGTGGGGGGGGGGAGGGGGGGGCTCCCAGTGTACACAGGCACTCATGCACACGAAAACACACACACACACACACGCATTCAGCTCCAATTTTCCTGGAATCTCTGTAAATAGTATCTTATCAAAATAAAAAAATAAAAAGTGACAAACCACCTTTCTTGGTTGACAGATATGAAGTGTATTGTGCTCCCTATTATTCTCAATGAGTTGAATATTGATAGTCCTAGTGGGTAGTTAAAAGTCATGTTGATGGTGATAGAAAGTACTTATATTTAAAAGTTAGGCTCACTAGTTTTGAAAAAAAGTGTAAAACGTGACGGAAATGTTGAATTTGCCTACTGCATGACCCCTGGGCACTGTGGCATGGATTTTTTAACAAGCTGCAGGAAATTTGTTCATCAACGGAAATTAACCGGATGATTATTGGTCTTCCAATTAGGCGGCAGGTCTACGGGTCTGAATGAACCATTTTATTGAGACCGAAAGTGACTGGGTTAAGGAGGCCTATTGTATCTGATAATACGCAAAGATAGATCAATTTTCTGGACAAGCCTTCATCTCTTGTTGTAAAAGAAAGTGGAGGTTGGGAAACGGGCAGATGGCTTTTAAATTGTGTTCAGTCAGTGTACAGGCATGCGGCAGTCCGGGTTGCAGGTTGGATTCTGTGGCATTGAGAGAACACCAACAAACTGAGCTCCTGGAACTTCTGACAATGGGCAAAAATAAGAATAAAAAGACTGAAAGGTGAGGGGTAGTGAGGAAATCAACTGGTAAATTTTATAGGAAAAGGGTGAAATTTTTGACATTGATTCACTACTTACTGTTTTAGTTAATTACTGATTTAATTTGTTTTTAAGTGTTGAGAATGTATGAGATAGAGATTAGGAAGAATGGTACATGGGGAATAGACTTTTTTTGGGGGGGGAGAAAGGGTGAAGGTGTGTGAAGCATATCAGTTCAATGGAGGTGTATTTGTCAATATCTGTCATATCTACTGTATTAGGCTATTTAAGTCATTTCTTTTATCACAATGAAAGCCGTCAAGTTAAAAAATGTACGGGCTAGGATGTTTTGTGTGTATGTGTGAGTATGTGTGTGCACTTGCGCACATGCACATTTACTCAAACATGCATACTAGTACATGCATTTGCATGCATTTGCATTCACACACATGAATCTGTACCTATATGTAAACTACACTATGTAAGCTGCAGTACCCCATACACCTCAGTCCTTCATCAGATAAGAGTCAAGGCTAGACAGCAAGGTGTTGAATGACCGGTGTCCATCAAGTAAACAATTACACTTAACCATGGTCTTTAGGACTTCATCAGATAAGTGGGTTGTCCAGATGTCTATCTTAACAGTGACCTATGGTCTAAGAGGTGTCTGGGATGACCACAATGGCTATTTATAGTCAGACATGAGGATATCTGTGGCCTGTTAAAGGTAAAATTTTGGCATATCCTAGCTGTGTGAAGCTCCCAGTAACAAATGAAAGCTATGTTTGTTGATTTATTTTGTGATTCAGCTAAAGTTAACTTATGTTGAATCCTAGCTTGCGTGCATAGAATAGAATAAATGTAAAGTTATTCAATGTGCTTTTGTCCAAGAGTTCTGGTCTTGAATGCTATACTTACGTGAGGATGCTATTTTAATGCTGGAATATTACACCGAAAGCAAGACATAACATACATAGATGAGGAGAAAAATACTGCTCTATTGTAGTGCCAGGTCTTGTTAGGTTTGAGTGAAAGTCTTGATATTTACTACCTATTGTGTGGCTGGTTTTGCTGTTGTCATTTGGACAGAAATATGCATGTAACTTACCTCTTTTTTTTTTCTGTGTGTGTGTGTATATATATATATATACCAGGTTTTAGTATTATGTTCTTTTTTTATAACTAAACAAACTTGAAGCCAGCCACAATGTTAAAAAATATACTGGCCTTTTTCATGCAGAAAAGGACTAAATGGGTGTAGAGTACCTTTGAAAATGAAAGGAGAAACAAATTTTAGATGGACAAGTTGAAAGTGAGATAAGTTAAGATCTTATAGATTACATTATTGAGCAATATTAAGAAAAGAAAACAAACAGATGATAAAACAGTGCAGGAGAAGAATGTCATGTATTGTCTAACTGGATGAAAAATGGTTAAAAAAAGTGGCTAAAGTTTCTCCACCCTGTCTTATCTATCACTTCCCTATTACAACAATTTACCAAGCTCCAGAAAAACTTATGACACATCATTTTTGTCCATCATTTCTATAAGTAGCCACTTATTGTACAACATAGCTTTTGTTCATGACACTAGGCCTGTAAATTGTTGACGTCATCGGGAACTTTGATACCTCACATTCCTTAACAGATAACACAAAGATAACACGGGATAAGTTCATAACGGGTGCATAATGTCACATGTCATGTCCGTATGCTCGTTAGGACACCTGTCAAATGAGTTTTTCATTGTTTTATTATGGTCCCTGTGTAAGCTGAAATGTTAGGCTCATGTAATGTCGTCTGGCAGAAGATCTGCAGGGCTTCTCTAAGGCGGTGAGTAGAAAAAATTCTGTTGTCACTTTCGTTTAATTATAGCTTAAGGGATTTCTGACAAAATCTTACAAATGTGCTGATATGCACCTAGCTGTTTGTCTTCATAGAGGCTTGAGGAAGTTTTTTCTAGTTTTGTGGAAGCAATTACGAAATATTTCAGATATGTGAGTTATTTCTAGGTAAAAAAGGCTTCTTGTTGAAAATTAGTGTGTGGAGTCCATGTTTTGGTATGTGTAGCTTAATGTAGGTAAACAATTTAGAAAATTCATGAATTCTGACAACAACACATTTTATTTACAAAACATGTTTTGAAACTGTTCAAGGTTGTGGCATAACATTGGGAATGTCAGGCGTGAAAGAATTTTTATGGTTTTACTGGACTGATTTCTGTAAAAGAAGGACACAGGTATTCCATGGTACCTCCATAGTTTCTCATAGGTACAAAATTAACTTTCCATTACTCAGGCAATTAGGTTGAAAAACATAGCTCCACTTTCAAAAATGGTTCTGTTTTCCATCTTATTATACTCTTCCTGATATCCAATGATGAAAGTTTAGGCCTTGAAGAAGCATGACTGGTATGTGCTATGATTAATCCATGCTCTTCTGCATAATTTCTTTATTTTTGAGACCTGGACAGGCATAAGAGAGAATCTTGCCCACTACGCACATGCAAGGCACCGCAAGCACTAAGGCATGTGTATGTAACTTCAATGGCTTGAATTCAATGATGAACGCTTGAATTCAGCCTCCTGTCTTGTCTGTCGCTTTGTAGTTTGTGGGCAAAAGAGCATGGCACGTACCTGCATTGTTCTCCCATTGTCGATGTGACGGAGCAAATACATGTGCACCATGCATGCTTATACACCAATTCACAACCAACAGTCAAAAACGATCCTTTCCTGATAAGAATTTATGTTGCGACTGGTTTGAAGTTGCCGCAATAGAAGTGTGCTGTTTTTATTGGTACATTGTATTCCAAACCTGTGAAATTGACTACTTGTTTCATTTCTCAGGTGTTGGGTCATTTTTCACGAAATGCTTAGCCATCCATTCCCAAAAAGAATGGGGTTTTATCAGGACCCCAATATGGATATTGAGTGATGTTTTGTTAAAATGCTGTCTCTGGCCTTGAATTTTAACAGTTTGGATCAGGAAACTGTGTATTTACAAACTTGATGTAACATGATGCATTCCCTTTCTGTTAAAATGAATTCGTAAAGAGACATCTCACCATCAGTTTGTGTTTTGACTGCCACACCGAAGATCAAACAAATTTCCGACATGTCGCTCATGTTCCTTATAGAAACAAACTAATTCTGTTATGAAAAGGATAATCTGCCATAACAACAGAAGTTGACGGGATGTCAAAAGGCTGTGATCATATTTTATAAAGAAAGTGGCGATAAAAAGGGTGACAATATCAACAAGAAATTGAAGGATTGTTGTGCAACCGGGACAATGTAACATTGTTGTAATTGTACGCTCTTCCTGTGGCACAAAAAGGGACATGTCGCAGGAGATATTTGTATTGTGCAGATTGACTGCACATTCACTTTTGACTTGACAAGTTGCTGTGGTGGTAGTCTTCTGCTGCAAATGCTGAAAAAGTAAAAGTTAGAGGTAAGTGGCAAGGATGCTCATTTCAAGTTATATCATTCTATGATCAGATGAAAGCACTGAAAGTCAAAGGCAGGCATTGGTCTAGACAGATAGAACATTGTGAAGCAGGTTTGGTGGGGAGATTTAAAGTCAAACTTGGTTAAAGTTAGAAATCTTCCCAGACAGACGGACAGACAGACAGACAGACGGCAGGGTATTTCTTGCAAACCTTACAATGACAATATGGTTACAGTATTGAATGTCTAAAGGTGCATACACATGAGACTTAATAGATTGCCTCAGGGTAGATTTTACAGACACAAGCCCAAAAAAGCAGTACATAGCTATAATATAAAGTATATTTCCTTCTGTCACCAAATAAGGTCTACTGTAGTTCACAGTCAGAATAACTTGGAAAGGAAACAAAACTCTTCATATGTCATTACATTACCAAGCACAAATAAAAATGCATCAACCCATTACTTTTGTTGTTAAGTCATATCAGTGATTAATGTAAAGCACCAAATTAAAATGGCATCACCAAATAACTTCCCCAGTTTGTTCCTAGTTTAGCTTGATCCTGTTAATACCTGCTGTTTGGTATATTGTGACAAGTTAGTATTTGATTTGATTTTACACAGTGTTGTTTGATTGATCAGCAGGGAAAGGGGGTTTATTGAATTTGTACCCTGCTTAACTTAATTTAATCTGATTTTGATTTGTAATTTTCCTCTCTGCAGGAGGAATTGAAGTGTTCATTCAAATGGTAATGTGTGTGTGTGTGTGTGAGAGAGAGAGAGAGAGAGAGAGAGAGAGAGAGAGAGAGAAGGGAGGAAGAAGCAATTTAGTGATACCTGGGCACCATAACATGTAAAAGATTAAAATTTTTGCTTCTTTGTCTTGAAATTATCACAAAATATCTGGAAATTGTACACACAACAAGTGGACTGTCAAACTATCACTGGAGGCCCATCATTAGATTTAAATCTTGTACATGCACTTCATCTGAGCTCCATCAGTCTCCAGAAATTACATTTGCTGACTGACATGTTTATGCATTGACTCAAGACAGTAGCAGAGAAAATGTCATGTCAGTTCCTTCTTCTTCCACCAATAAACCACAATAATAAACAATACACAGAAAAAGAAGGAAAAATATGTAGAGAAAATATCGGAAAAGTGAGGCAACACCAGAAGCTGGAATGCATGATGGAGTTTGAAATTCAGCAGTATTTGAATGCACTCGTGGCAGTCATGCATATATACCATTGCAGTCCTCTTGACTTGGCATGCATGGCAGTTTTCTTTTCATTGTCAGCGCATGATGGTATGCCATGAGCTCATCCACATGAACACTTTGCAAGACTGGCTTCTACCATGTGGAAATTTTACAATTACTGTGACTTCATCTTTCTATAGAAAATTGTTCCAAAATCAGATGAAAAAAATGGGAAAAAAGGTATAGCTTGTCCCTATCCTAGGACTTGGACATAATCCCAAAGATTTTAAGAATTAATTTGACTGAAAATAGACATCCATCAATGCCACTTATCTCATTTTTTTTCTTATGGTCAAAAATGTTATTTCG